TGCGACTGTTCTGATGGTTGTTGAGGCAGCTTTCTCGGAAAACACCCTCTTTGTCTCGCGCGGCCATGATATATGTCTGAGTGTCCTGGCCTTGAGTATTGCTGACCACCCACTACTGAAGCTGTAACGTGGGTTGATTCCATATCTATCTCATTTTGAAAATCAAAAACAGCAATTGAGAAATCAAGCGCGGTAAAGTTTGGAAAATCAAGATGAAACACTAAAACAAAAAATGTTTTTCTTTTTAATCAAAAACAAAATATCAAAATCAAAGAAAACAAGACAAGAATCAAAAGAAGTGAATTTCATAAGGCCCTGTCCACACGCATCCAGATATTTTAGGAATCCGCGAAATTTTCTTTCCGGAGTTGAAAAGTTTCCGCGTCCAAATGTATCCCTATTCAAATCGAATTTGCCCGTTCACACTACATGTATTCACTCTCAGTTCGTCAGCTAATTTGTATTTAGCGATCTTCGTTTCACAGGAAAATTTACCGCCAATCTTCTTCAATAACTGCTTCACTGACAAAATTGTTCTAACAAGTACTAATTCACTTGTTTACGGCGTCCAATTCGTCTGTCCGACATACAGCTATTTCGAGAAAGGTTGTCGGAAAATGAGCACGCGACCCGTTCCGAAAAGTAATTGTGGGATACGATCATCACTGTTCCTAACACTAACGACTTTAGTTGTCGAACCAACTTTTGTTGCTTTCCTTTTAACAGTCGCAATCATATGTCCGTGGCCTCCGGCGTGCCATAATTTCAAATTTCTTTGAAGAACAGTGAACTCAAAACCACCCACAATACCTTTCGCGACTGTCGCGTGCACTTTTTCCAACAACGTTTCTCAAAATAGCTGTAGAAAGAAGCTTCAAAATGTATATGGGCCATTTCGGAGTTTCGTAGGGAACTGGGGCGAGTTTCAAATTTAAACTAATCGATAAACTGACACCACCATATAAAAGGTCATGTTGTGATTGGTTATTTGACCAAGTTTGGTGCTCTAAGGTTGAACAGGGATCACGTAATGACTCTTCTCTTAAACAGGGGCGTAGACAGCCTGTAGGCCCGTAGGCCAGGTCTTACACTTTTTTTTTCGGTCCGCCTGACTTTTCACGATAGTATGCACGATGGTCGGTTGCTAAGGAAAATGCTCCCATAAACAAACCTAGGTCACGTGACGACGCGGTATCAAGCATCAGTGTTTGTAGCGCCGGAATATATACAAACCATGTGTAGTCACTTCTCTATCCCCTCCCTCCATGAAAAAACAATTCCCTAGCCTCCCATTGGCAAAACCAATAAAAAGGGGGCCTTGACCACTATCAGGACGGTCGGGCTACCGCGAAACGATTCTTGTTTTGCCAAAATTTTCATTTCAATTGAGGCACTATTTTCGTCATTTTGGAGTTTAAACTCACACTGAGATTGTTTTGAGCAGCATGTTTTTGTTTTGAAGGAAAAAGAAGGTAAAAATAAAAGATCTGAATTCGGAAGTCTTCACTTCTTTTGTGCGCTTTACGCTAAAAATGCTCAAAATGGCCGTTTTCACCGTCCCCTAGTGCAATTTCTTCCAGTATCTTCTTGCTTCCGGCTTACTGTAGTTTGCGAAACGAAATGAAACGAAACGAAATGAAACGAAACGAAATGGAACGAAACGAAATGAAAATCTGTAGTTTGCGAAATGAAAATCTGTAGTTTGCGAAATGAAAATCTGTAGTTTGCGAAATGA